GATGGACAACTAGACAAAAAGGAGTATATACTATCACCAGGACATCAACAGATATATTACACTCTATGAACTTATATGCCGCATTTTATATATCTAATGTCAGCAACTAGTCTCAACATTATTAAAATAGAGCAACATTACTTGATAACAAGCACTCCTTACTATCAGAAACCATTATGGAGGCCAATTGAAATAGTACAGGTGTGACAGCGGATGTTCGACTTGCTCTTCATCTTACGTAACCAATAATTATCAGAAACACGACAGCGCACTGCAACATACATTCAGTATAGAGTAATACAGTTTGACCAACCGTAATATATTATCGCTACAACTATACACCGGTGTAACATAAAGGACCCAAATAAATGATAACATCAAAGTATACAAATCAATAGCGACACTCTCTCAATCTTAATGTAATATAGGGTAGACTCTCAGCAACACGACCTTTCATGCCAACACTATTAGAATACCCCTTCCCGCATAGTAACAATAGTGTGACTCGAAGGATTATCGACTGATTCCTGTTAGTCACATGCGCGATAATACTAGAATTAATACTACTAGAACGAGCGGGAAATTACAGTTGTACCCTCAAATTTTCACTTTTTCTTTTATTTTTCTTACAAATTTAAAACGATATTTATACAATTATTGCTTCTGCTCCAGCAACGTCGCTAGTGAATAATAAAATATATATACAAATTAAAAAAAAATATGCTTGAAAGAATAATAACCTCCCAGGCCCCGACGTTGTATTGGACCAGCGGGCCAAGGACAATTTTTTTAAATAAAGGTAAATATGACAGATTTATATTATTTAACTTATTACTACGTTCTTATTTATTTTTTTCTTAGTTATTACTACGTTCTTATAGAAAAATAAAAATATCAACAATACAAATATCGAATTATTTATAGGAAGGTCAAGTGAGCGCTAGAAAAACGACGATTGCAAGACGTTGTCGATTAATAAAATGTTTTGAGAAGTTATCAATTAACGTGCAGTGGCGGTGTATGAACATCCACATCATCCCGTGGGTCTCGTACTAGACTTGGGGAAAAGTATTATTTTTAAATAACCGTGAGCGTCGTTCCGGTTACAAAAAGCAACAATAAAAAATTATTGTGACTTTGTCACGTTGATAACGTTGGATAACTATTTGGAACATTAGAACGACTTATAATGTGACTTCAAATATGCATTTTAGATTTAGTATTAGGTTTTATTTCAGCAGTCGATTTTTTATTACCTTCCTTACCTAAACTACGAATGTGGCTATGTTTTAAATACCATTCTATTTTTTTAAATATACGAATTTAACCTGCCCTAGCCAATCAGTCGGTGTACCATTCGAGTACACCGTATCGTACCTTATTACACAGTAACAAGGAACTTGTAAGTTAGATTAATAACTTATATTATTTGTAGAATATTGTATTGATGTCCAACGCCCATGACGGCAAAATGCGACACTAGGAATGGGACATGTACAAAGATACCGATACAAAAATAAACATAAATCGAAATATTATAATAATAAATTAAAAATATACAATATAATTTTAAAATATAATATCTCTGACATTTTAAAATTTTACATCTAATTATGCCAGCTATCACAGCGTAACGCTTCGAGATAAACTCCCCGATGGTAATACAATTCATGTAGATTCTCCCGACATGAAGCCATCTCGGAGTTATCTTTGTGACATTAACGTGCACTACACATTGTCATTTAGCTTGGTGAAAAATAGCAAGTACTTCAATTTGTGTGTAATTGTTGTTAAACATAAAATAGACAAATATAAAATAGACATGTACATACATACAAAAAATATCTCAGTGATGGCACTATTTTTATATTTTCATTAGTTTTAATTTATCAGAGTCACGCAATTTAAAGAAAACTAAACTTAATACAGTGACCTATATGTGTTATGTAACTTAATACAATACGAAGTATTTATTATTTTATATAAATCAACATATTTGATTATCAAACAAATCAAATAATTATTTTATTAATTTTAGACCTTTGCTTATTTTATCATTTTTGCACAATCCTTGCGCGTTCGCTCGATGACGCAGCCATATCATTCCAGTCCAGTCGCGCGGTGATTAAAATATTGATATCGACAGTCGATATTTAATATTTTTTCAATTTTTACTCGTAAATCATTTAAACTACTACTACCCAATCTACTGTATTTTATTTATATACACTATATTATGCTTTTAATTTTCCCCAGTTTATTTATTTGCTTATTATTTTAAAATAAAATGTAATTTTGTTTAGTATATATCTATGGTATTAAAATTACTATAATCTATAAAACTTGGTAATACTTTAACTAATGTGTGTTTTGGCGGGAACTTGAACGTCCATGGATGGTTGCTCCTATTTTATTGTTTAAAGAATGGTTTGAAGTGGATTTTGATACGTAAAAGTTATACTGATTTGTGCATTAAGTGTCTGCGCATGAGAAATAATAGAGAAAATGACGAAATAAACGCTTCGATGTTAATATAAACCTCAAGTTATTCTGATTGCATCTTATAAACTTGAGTCACTGTCGTCATCGACTGTGTGCTGGGTAGACAGTTTACTCCCGTTCTATCAGAAATAGTTGTTAAATATTTGATTTCGTCAGCTACATCTGTAGGATCTGTGCTTCTCAACATATAAAACGGCTGAACATATAAAATAACGAGTGTTTTTGAAAACTCACACTGAAAAATATTGGTTAATATAATCGTCTTATTTAAATTAAAGAAAACTAAATAAAGAATTAATAAGGACTTTAAACTAACATTTTGATAAATTAATAATTTAATTTGATTAGTAAAAATATAATAAATGAACTTAACTAAATGAATTACGATTGTTTTTAAAAAAAAGCCGATATATCGATATTATTTTCGATATATAAAACTCCGAAATTGATATTTTTATAATTATCGATACACCGAAAATCAGATATTCTAAAAAATATCAACAGTCCTAGTTTGAACTGATCAGTTGGAATGATCAGTTGAACTGACCGTGTGTGTGGAAATTTCTTTGGCTTAAATCCGCTTGAAATGATATCAGTTCAACGGATGACTAACTGAACGTGTGTGGTGAGCATAACAGTAATACACCATTATAGATGTTAAAGTTTTCGAAAACGGCGCTTAAAATTAGTAAAATAAGTACTATAAATCACGCTCGCGCTAACCGTATTTATTATAATGCAGACTAAGTGAGACTAAGTGAAATGCCCTAGCAGGTCAGCCCGTCTCCTGCTCCGCAAGGCCTCCACCGTTGCTCTGCATAAGTACATTCTTTTCCCAACTGTAAGGTCTTTAAACAGTGATATAGGTTAATGGATTCTTTTACACCGCTACTGCATGACAAGAATAATATTTTTATATACAAAAATAAATTTGTACGAAAGTGCGACAAACGTAACGACTGTGTGTAGTTCGTTATTTGTGTTAAGACGCTCATTACTTTCGAAGTGCGCGGGAATCAAAGAGCGAGTATAAGCGCCACGCGTTCCCAGAGGAGATGCTCGGCTTCCACATTTTACTCGCTGGTAAGTTAATGCATCGTGCACGCTAAGCTGATCTGGAACTAGATCATTTGAATTGCATTTCTTTGCCCAAGGCATGGCTTTTGTGTGTATTTTCACATCACAGTAATAGTTTTGCATGGGGTTTCTATTTCATTGTATAGTGGTACAGATTGTTTTATAATAAAATAAATCTAAAGTTAAAATAGTAGTTAGAGCTAATTCACTCAGTACGTAAAGTATTTACTTTCACATTTAATTTCTTCATATGGTACTATTGATAAATTGTTTTGTTATATAGGTACGTAAATTTTATTATAAAGCTGATGTTGTCGATAAATATGTCACCACATGTTTCAAAAATCATAATAAATATTGCATCAGCCAGCAATTAGCTTATATTTTTAATGTGTAGATTTTAATTTTTTTTCTAAGTTAATAAACTTATAGTAAACTTATATAAGCTTATAGTGAGTTGCTAGCCGGTAAATTTTGTTTGAAATAAATAAGGATTTAATGATTTCTTATATTTACGCGAACATTGCACATGATTAAAACTACTTTTACGGATTTTATCGCGTTTATTTTTTCTTACTTTTTATTTTTATTTTTAATTCCCGACGTTTCGGGCGCTTTCCAGCACCCATGATCACGGGGGACTGAGATGACTGACGTCCCGATGTCATTGTTAAACCCGGAGTACCTTCAGCTTTTTTAATTATTGTTTATGGTCCGATCTATGCAAAATGAACTGACTATGTCCTGAGGTCTTGCAGTGGTATGCTTGGGTTTAGTTTTAATTTTATTGATTATAGGATCCCAAGCAGGTGGTAGTACCCAGCCTCCTTCTCTATTGAAATTAGGATGTTTTTTAATTTCAATAGCCTCACGTATCATCCTTGGTAGGAATCGGTGTTCTTTCGCGAGGATTTGTGGTCTATCAAATCTGATGTAATGGTTGGGGCCGTCTAGGATATGATACACAAACTGCAGACTTCCGGGAATTCCTACCAAGGATGATACGCGAGGCTATTGAAATTAAAAAACATCCAAATTTCAATAGAGAAGGAGGCTGGGTACTACCACCTGCTTGGGATCCTATAATCAATAAAATTAAAACTAAACCCAAGCATACCACTGCAAGACCTCATGACATAGTCAGCTCATTTTGCATAGATCGGACCATAAACAATAATTAAAAAAGCTGAAGGTATCCGGGTTTAACTATGACATCGGGACGTCAGTCATCTCAGTCCCCCCCGTGACCATGGTTGCTGGAAAGCGCCCGAAACGTCGGGAATTAAAAATAAAAATAAAAAGTAAGAAAAATAAACGCGATAAAATCCGTAAAAATATGTAGTTTTAAAATCATAAAGAAGGATTATCAAAATTTTGGGCAGTGTTGGAAAATTAAAAGAAAATCTTCTGAAATTCTAATGTCATATTTTCAGCAGTGACATTGAACGTGGTGAGATGTGAACCTGTCTCATGTCCACTGTGGACATCTGCGAAGCTGTTTGCGGTTCCAATGAAGCGTGCAATGAAAACAAATTGTGCTGTCCTACAGTGTGTGCCATACGCTTCGATCCTATTGCAAATAAACATTTTACAACTTAAGGTCTGCTACTTTTAAAACTTCTTTAAACGGAAAAATAGTTTATTTAGAAATTAAAACCAACCATGTGTTAGAGACGAAGAGAATTCAACACCCCATTTCATTCAATGGGCGTCTTAAGAAATCACTATGGTAATGAATATAAATACCTAGTAACAACGAATGGCATGATTGTATACTCGTATGTTAAAAGTATGAAAGCAGCGTCGAAAGTGCTAGTCGTGCGTGCGTGCGTGCGTGCGGCGTGCGTGCATGCGTGCGTGCGTGCGTGTGTGTGTGTGTGTGTGTGTGTGTATGGTCTTTCCGCGTGACGCCACAGATCCATCGCAGCATGTTCATCTCCGTGACATGCAACAACTGCCGGTGTCGCTCTAGCACCGGCCACGCTTCACTGCCATACGTAAGGGCAGGCCTTATGATTGTCTTATAGACCTGTCCCTTCAGCTTGACCAGCATTTTGGGGTCATAAATGACACCCGTTACCTCGCACTATTTCGCCCAGGCGGCTAATATACGGGCCTTGATATGGCGATCGATGCCCCCGGACGCATCAAGCACAGATCCGAGGTACCTGAAGTTATCCGTGCGCTCGACGGTGTCGTCGCCTATACGGAGAGATGTCAGATCTGTGCTGTTGCAGGCCATATACTCCGTCTTCGCCACATTTTGCTTCAGCCCGCCGTTCTCAAGCGCCTGCCTCCATGCGTGCACGCGTCTAGTGAGCCGTCCTTTGTCCCCATCAACTACTGCGATATCATCAGCGTACATAAGCAGCCAAGGCTGCGGTAGTTTCTGTACGCTGGCTGACAGGTCGTCTAATTTCACACTGAAGAGATAGGGGCTTAAGACTGAGCCCTGATGCACGTCTACGGTTATGGGGAAGGGGGTGGTATCACCAACAGCGCTCCTGACTATTGAATCGGAGTTGCGGTACATATCACGTACGATTTCCACGTAGGTCTCTGGTACCAACTTCGACCGCAACGCCCACCAGATCATCTCCCTAGGAACACAGTCAAAGGCCTTCTGCAGGTCTAGGAATAAAAAATGCAGAGGCATATTCTTTTCCCTATGCTTCTCCATGAGGATCCTTAGGGCGAATATAGGGTCCATGGTACCGCGTCCTGGTTGGAAACCATACTGGGAGTCCGATACTGTACACTCCTGTCGGATCCTGGTCAATAATGCGTTCGAAGAGCTTCATGGTGTGTGACGTCACCTTTATACCGCGGTAATTACCGCAATCCTGAATGGACCCTTTACCCTTGTGGACCGCCGTTATTATACTAAGACGCCACTGATCGGGCATTATTCGGTCGCTCAGGATTCTATTATAAAGGTTAGTAAGAATGCACACACCACGAGCCCCCAGCGCTTTCCACGCTTCCATTGGCACCTCGTCCGGTCCGACAGCTTTCCGATTCTCCATGTGACGAAGAGATGCGAGGACCTCGTCGAGCGTAATCGATGGCACGGGTCCATGGTTCGGGAGTTGTTCGGGAGGGTGCACTACCCGGTGCTGAGTATTCAGCAAAACGTGGATATAAGAGCGCCATCTCTCATTCACCGCACGATCATCGTACAGGAGCTGGCCATTCGGGCCGTTGACGCTACAGCAGCGAGTAATATCTTGCGCTGCTTTGGCCCTAGAGCGCGCCAGTTTATATATGAGCTTGTGCCCCTCATGAGTGTCTAACTTAGCATATAATGGTTGCAAGTGGTCACGCCTAGCTCTGGCTACAGCTTTCTTGGCAGCTCTTTTCGCGGTCTTGTAAGATGCGCGATCTTCAGGAGATTTGGTCGTTTGGCACGTCTTGAAGAGCGCTTTCTTCTCCCATAATGAACTCAGTCTTAAGCCCCTATCTCTTCAGTGTGATATTAGACGAACTGTCAGCCAGCGTACAGAAACTACCGCAGCCTTGGCTGCTTATGTACGCTGATGATATCGCACTGGTTGATGGGGACAAAGCACGGCTCACTAGATGCGTGCACGCATGTAGGGAGGCGCTTGAGAACGGCGGGCTGAAGCAAAATGTGGCGAAGACGGAGTATGTGGCCTGCAACAGCACAGATCTGACATCTCTCCGTATAGGCGACGACACCGTCGAGCGCACGGACAACTTCAGGTACCTCGGATCTGTGCTTGATGCGTCCGGGGGCATCGATCGCTGTATCAAGGCCCGTATATTAGCGGCCTGGGCGAAATGGTGCGAGGTAACGGGTGTCATTTGTGACACCAAAATGCCGGTCAAGCTGAAGGGACAGGTCTATAAGACAATCATAAGGCCTGTCCTTACGTACAGCAGTGAAGCGTGGCCGGTGCTAGAGCGACACCGGCAGTTGTTGCATGTCACGGAGATGAACATGCTGCGATGGATCTGTGGCGTCACGCGGAAAGACCATACACACACACACACACACACACACACACACACACACACACACACACACACACACACGCACGCACGCACGCACGCACGCATGCACGCACGCCGCACGCACGCACGCACGCACGACTTGCACTTTCGACGCTGCTTTCATACTTTTAACATACGAGTATACAATCATGCCATTCGTTGTTACTATGTATTTATATTCATTACCATAGTGATTTCTTAAGACGCCCATTGAATGAAATGGGGTGTTGAATTCTCTTCGTCTCTAACACATGGTTGGTTTTAATTTCTAAATAAACTATTTTTCCGTTTAAAGAAGTTTTAAAAGTAGCAGACCTTAAGTTGTAAAATGTTTATTTGCAATAGGATCGAAGCGTATGGCACACACTGTAGGACAGCACAATTTGTTTTCATTGCACGCTTCATTGGAACCGCAAACAGCTTCGCAGATGTCCACAGTGGACATGAGACAGGTTCACATCTCACCATGTTCAATGTCACTGCTGTAAATATGACATTAGAATTTCAGAAGATTTTCTTTTAATTTTCCAACACCGCCCAAATTTTGATAATCCTTATTTATTTCAAACAAAATTTACCGGCTAGCAACTCACTATAAGCTTATATAAGTTTACTATAAGTTTATTAACTTAGAAAAAAAATTAAAATCTACACATTAAAAATATAAGCTAATTGCTAGCTGATGCAATATTTATTATGATTTTTGAAACATGTGGTGACATATTTATCGACAACATCAGCTTTATAATAAAATTTACGTACCTATATAACAAAACAATTTATCAATAGTACCACATGAAGAAATTAAATGTGAAAGTAAATACTTTACTTACTGAGTGAATTAGCTCTAACTACTATTTTAACTTTAGATTTATTTTATTATAAAACAATCTGTACCACTATACAATGAAATAGAAACCCCATGCAAAACTATTACTGTGATGTGAAAATACACACACAAGCCACGCCTTGGGCAAAGAAATGCAATTTAAATGATCTAGTTCCAGATCAGCTTAGCGTGCACGATGCATTAACTTACCAGCGAGTAAAATGTGGAAGCCGAGCATCTCCTCTGGGAACGCGTGGCGCTTATACTCGTACTCGGTCGCTCTTTGATTCTCGCGCACTACGAAAGTAATGAGCGTCTTAACACAAATAACGAACTACACACAGTCGTTACGTTTGTCGCACTTTCGTACAAATTTATTTTTGTATATAAAAATATTATTCTTGTCGTGCAGTAGCGGTGTAAAAGAATCCATTAACCTATATCACTGTTTAAAGACCTTACAGTTGGGAAAAGAATGTACTTATGCAGAGCAACGGTGAAGGCCTTGCGGGGCAGGAGACGGGCTGACCTGCTAGGGCATTTCACTTAGTCCCACTTAGTCTGCTTTATAATAAATACTGTTAGCGCGAGCGTGATTTATAGTACTTATTTTACTAATTTTAAGCGCCATTTTCGAAAACTTTAACATCTATAATTGCGTATTACTGTTATGCTCACCACACACGTTCAGTTAAAATAATCAGTTGAACTGATATCAGTCCAAACGGATTTATGCCAAAAAAATTTCCACACACATGGTCAGTTCAACTGATCATTCCAACTGATCAGTTCAAACTAGGACTGTTGATATTTTTTAGAATATCTGATTTTCGGTGTATCGATAATTATAAAAATATCAATTTCGGAGTTTTATATATCGAAAATAATATCGATATATCGGCTTTCTTTTTTTAAAAACAATCGTAAGTCATTTAGTTTAGTTCATTTATTATATTTTTACTAATCAAATTAAATAATTAATTTATCAAAATGTTAGTTTGTAGTCCTTATTAATTCTTTATTTAGTTTTCTTTAATTTAAATAAGACGATTATATTAACCAATATTTTTCAGTGTGAGTTTTCAAAAACACTCGTTATTTTATATGTTCAGCCGTTTTATATGTTGAGAAGCACAGATCCTACAGATGTAGCCGACGAAATCAAATATTTAACAACTATTTCTGATAAAACGGGAGTAAACTGTCTACCCAGCACACAGTCGGTGACGACAGTGACTCAAGTTCATAAGATGCAATCAGAATAACTTGAGGTTTATATTAACATCCAAGCATTTATTTCGTCATTTTCTCTATTATTTCACATGCGCAGACACTTAATGCACAAACCAGTATCACTTTTACGTATCAAAATCCACTTCAAACCATTCTTTAAACAATAAAATAGGAGCAACAATCCATGGAGTTCAAGTTCCCACACTCGTAGTTAAAGTATTACCAAGTTTTATAGATTATAGTAATTTTAATACCATAGATATATACTAAACAAAATTACATTTTATTTTAAAATAATAAGCAAATAAATAAACTGGGGAAAATTAAAAGCATAATATAGTGTATATAAATAAAATACAGTAGATTGGGTAGTAGTAGTTTAAATGATTTACGAGTAAAAATTGAAAAAATATTAAATATCAACTGTCGATATCAATATTCTAATCACCGCACGACCACCCTATGGCTACGTCATCGAGCGAACGCGAAAGGATTGTGCAAAAATGATAAAATAAGCAAAGGTCTAAAATTAATAAAATAACTATTTGATTTGTTTGATAATCAAATATGTTGATTTATATAAAATAATAAATACTTCGTATTGTATTAAGTTACATAACACATATAGGTCACTATATTAAGTTTAGTTTTCTTTAAATTGCGTGACTCTGATAAATCAAAAATAATGAAAATATAAAAATAGTGTCATCACTGAGATATTTTTATATGTATGTACATGTCTATTTTATATTTGTCTATTTTATGTTTAACAACAATTACACACAAATTGAAGTACTTGCTATTTTTCACCAAGCAAAAGGACAATGTGTAGTGCACGTTGCCACCATATGAGTTACGTAACGCGCGATACCATCCATATGATCTGGATGATTGGTTGTTCACAACTGTGCGATTTAAAATTATCTTCCACACACACCTTCCTTGTAGAATCGATTACTACCAGAAATTTTTCGAACCGATATTACTTAGTGACCTTCAAGAAAAGAATCTACTCGTATATAAAAAGCCGGCAATGGTCTGCGAATTCCCTGATCATGGGCAAGCAGTTGGCACTAGGTGAGCCGCATGCTCATTTCCCCAATCTTATATAAAAAAAATTAGCTAAAAATTTGTTTATAAGAAACAGTGTGATCAAAACGCCATTTCAACACATGGTTGTCGTAACACCTAAAGGCACCTATAGGAAATGCTATAAAGATCTTACGGTTTCAGATAGAGCTTGGTGCATTGCAGCATTTCAGAAGTAGAATGCTTTAAGCGACGACAGGGAGTAGCGTCAAAGGTGCGAGACGACTGGTAATTTAATAGCCAATCTGCCTGCAAATGCTTACTATAACGGGAGAGATCTATTCAGTGTCCTTCTACAGACTAATGAAGAAGACATCCAGTATAGTTAATCAGGTCCTCATTTCGACCGTATTGCGTTTCGCTGGGTGTTTTGTTCTTAAATAAAATTATCAGTTAACTAAATACTAAACCCTGAGGTTCAACATTTTTCTTCAATTAAGAATCAAAATGAAGCTTCGTTGTCACCTCTGAGGACTTAGAATGCTTTGTTACTAAAAGCAAGAAGGGTTTCCGGTTCTCTACACTGATCATACGAAACACAGCACTGGACACGAGGCAACAGATTATTCAACGGAATTTTGTACTGCCTCTCGGGTATTGAAATTTTTCCTACAAAAATGTTATCTAAATTCTATAGAAAGTAGAAGTCTGTAGATGCAAGGTCTGCTAAGTACCAACAAAGTCTGATAAGTAGGGATGACTGACAGCTTCCAATTCCAGTAGAATCACTGAGTGATTGTTGTGTGGATAATGAAGCACGTTGTGTAGTTGACCCAGAATCACTTGCTACTTGTTCATCATTTGATATAGATTCATTCACGTGCGTGTCGTTATTGCTGGTAGTTATCTGAAAATTAATAAAATAAAAACACTAACTTCGATGAAATACTTTGTAACAGCTACCCGAGACTGAAAATGAATGGTTAGCCGTTGCAAAAGAATTTGAAGAAAAGTGGAACTTTCCTCATGTAACAGGCGCAATTAACGGCAAACATGTTTGTCTTCAAGCACCATTAAATAGTGGCACGGAATTTCACAAATAGAAACATTTTTATAGCATTGTATTGTTATTGTTTAGTTGAAACTGAATGGTTAGCCGTTGCAAAAGAATTTGAAGAAAAGTGGAACTTTCCTCATGTAACAGGCGCAATTAACGGCAAACATGTTTGTCTTCAAGCACCATTATATGGTGGCACGGAATTTCACAAATAGAAACATTTTTATAGCATTGTATTGTTATTGTTTAGTTGAAACTGAATGGTTAGCCGTTGCAAAAAGAATTTGAAGAAAAGTGGAACTTTCCTCATGTAACAGGCGCAATTAACGGCAAACATGTTTGTCTTCAAGCACCATTAAATAGTGGCACGGAATTTCACAAATAGAAACATTTTTATAGCATTGTATTGTTATTGTTTAGTTGAAACTGAATGGTTAGCCGTTGCAAATGAATTTGAAGAAAAGTGGAACTTTCCTCATGTAACAGGCGCAATTAACGGCAAACATGTTTGTCTTCAAGCACCATTATATAGTGGCACGGAATTTCACAAATAGAAACATTTTTATAGCATTGTATTGTTATTGTTTAGTTGAAAATGAATGGTTAGCCGTTGCAAAAGAATTTGAAGAAAAGTGGAACTTTCCTCATGTAACAGGCGCAATTAACGGCAAACATGTTTGTCTTCAAGCACCATTAAATAGTGGCACGGAATTTCACAAATAGAAACATTTTTATAGCATTGTATTGTTATTGTTTAGTTGAAAATGAATGGTTAGCCGTTGCAAAAGAATTTGAAGAAAAGTGGAACTTTCCTCATGTAACAGGCGCAATTAACGGCAAACATGTTTGTCTTCAAGCACCATTATATAGTGGCACGGAATTTCACAAATAGAAACATTTTTATAGCATTGTATTGTTATTGTTTAGTTGAAACTGAATGGTTAGCCGTTGCAAAAGAATTTGAAGAAAAGTGGAACTTTCCTCATGTAACAGGCGCAATTAACGGCAAACATGTTTGTCTTCAAGCACCATTATATAGTGGCACGGAATTTCACAAATAGAAACATTTTTATAGCATTGTATTGTTAGCCTTAGTGGAAACTGACTACAATTTTATGTACGTTAATGTTGGATATCAAGGGCATATATCAGACGCAGATGTTTTTAAAAACACCTCCTTGTACAGGAACCTTGAAAACAAAAGTTTAAGTTCACCGAATTCTGAAATATTACATACTCTTTACAATGTATATGATTGTGTGTGATAAAGCATTTGCCCTAAGCGAATATACCATGAAACCCTTTTCAGGTAATCCAGAAAGAGGATCTAATGAAAGAATATGCAACTATCGTCTTTCGAGTGCAAGGAGGGTAGTTGGGAATGCCTTTGGAATACTAAATTCGGTGTTTCGAGTATTACGAAAACCAATTCTTTTGGAACCGAAAAAAGCTACAAAAAATTTATTGGCAACTGTTTATTTACACATTTTTTTTACGAAAAAGCAGAATATCAAATATTTACCCACAGACCAATGACTTAGAATCGAAACAGCGAGGAGAGCTAATTCCAAGTGCATGGCGACAAGATCAACAACAATTAACTTCTTTTTTACCTTAAGACTGTGTACTGTCCAATACTAGTAGTAATTACAATAGTAGTGTAATGCCCAATACTCCTACTAGTATACCTTTACATCTAGCGGAATATTTTGATAATAATGCTATCCTTGAGTGGCAAAATAACTACGTTTTGAATATGACTTATATTGAATATGACGTGTACTACCTAAAAGGATTAACGTGATAGCTTAATCTTTTCTTAAGTGTATATTTCTACTTATACTTATTATACATATATATGAGATCATTTAAACTATCGCGTGGCATGTTTATAAAATACATATTATATACTGGATATTAACGCGAAAAACATGTTTTTTAATCAATGCTATTTAAATGTTAACTGACGTCAGCACCATCACAGCAGTCCACCATTCATTACTGAACATAGGCCCCCGCCATATATAAGTACAAACCTGGACACTGATGGAACCTGACCACTTTTTATACGCCACGCTGCAGCTATATTATGATTGAAGCACGAATGCGTCGGCTCAACCGGGGAAGGGCCATGCTCTTACAGAATACTAGCGTAAAATAACAGCTTAATACTGCTGTATTTCATATGGTGAATGTAGAGATCCAGAGCCCCTTTTTTACTGGAAACAAGGCATCTTAATCCTCAGGGGTGACAACACACTGAGTTTTGATTCTTTATCAAGGATGAATGTCGATGTCTATGGGTCACAGCATCTACTTATCATCAGGTGGGCTGTATGCTCGTTTGTCACCCTTATTCTATTAAAAAAACAGTCATCTGCTTTCATGAAATTCCTGCATATTTTAGCAGGTCTACTCTATTTTTTATTATACTCTACTCTATTCCTACTATACCTACTCTATTTTATATTGCCGACTGCCTCGTTGGTCTAGTGGTCGCAAACGCAATTGCTGGTCATGAGATTAAATTACCGGCCCAACGGACTATGATAGTGACGAATAGAGAGTGCACTTGAGCTTATGCATACACTTGAATATTATAATCCTGTCCTGCGCAGATGGCTAGTCTCCGTTTAAACTGGCCGCCGTGACCGAAATTCAGTCTCTAACTAGAAATTTCGGCACGGATTACACCGGCCGTCCTTACAAGCGGACTGAAGGAAATAAAAGGTATTTAAAAAAAAACTAACAAACGAAGAGGATTGAAAGCATCGTAATGAAAACTAACTATCATCTTTCAAAGCGAATGAGTTGTAATAAAACCCTTTTTTTGCAGAGAAAAATTCAGAGAAATAATTTTCCATGGGCGAGGTCATTAACGGAATGTTACTTTTTTATTTTTACTTGAGAATAACAAATAGCCACTTAATTTCGAAAACACAGTTGTATTTACAAGAACATAATAAAACTTATTTACTTTATGTTTTAAACAGTTCTTTTGTTTTCAGCAAACACTTTAAAGGTTTTTTTTTAAATATAGTAATTCAATGCTTCACTACAATTGCACTTATTTATATGATAGTGATGAAGCCGATGAAGTGATAAAATGGAATAAGATAGTAAAAGGCACTTTGCTATCTTAACGTGGTATAAAAAAATCTTGACGTGGCTTAAAAGAGCAATTATACTCATTCTTGACACGAAGACAGCTACATAGCATAAGGATGGAAATACAAATGCTATTAAATTATTCCATTACATTGCTGTAGTCAATAAGAATGACGAAGCAAACCGTTTGGTTGTAATGAATGGCATGTAAACGACAAAGGAGTGGAGATTGGCTCATGGTTAATAGATATGTAGCAAGGACTGTGTGAAACTCCTGTGCAAATTCTCCAAAATATATTCGAGTAAATATTGAAATACTGGCTATTTTGCACTTGTGTTCTCTACTGGTAACATTGGTTTTAACCAACTAAATAAGTCTACTTATCCCGTTTTAATTAAGTTCAAAGCTTCATTTTACAACACCAACCGATATATGGCAGTGGTACTTAAAGTAGGATCTGACCTTCGCTTTACATATAATTAGCAGCTGTCCTGTTGTAATGCCACGCCTAACTTTTGCAAGTTTTCCGTAAATATTTCTCTTAAAAAGTAATTCTAATTCAAAATTCATTACAAACAAAATTTGACTTGCACTTATAGAAATATAATTGGACTTGTTACTAACCACTATCTGCCGTTTGGTGGCGGCGTAAGACATTATTTCATTTCGTCGTTCGTTAAGAATTTAATAACTGGGCGGCGCCAATATTTATGAACACGAAAGAAAAATAAAGTAATAGGTAAAAGGTTCGGACTTAGATTGACTTTTCCTTTTCGAGTTTCTGATTAAAGTAAATATTTTATACAATGTTTCGTATAAATAAACGACACGTAATAGGGTTGCCTTTTTTAATTAAAGTTGTTTAGTGAATTGTTCTTCAGTAGTTACTGTTTTGCAGTTTTTTAAAAAATGGCGCCTATTAAGACTTTACCACTTACAATAATGAAAGGTTGCCACCTGAAAGCAGGCAATCATTTAGAATAGTTCAAGTAGATGGTATTATTCATTATTATTTATCGAACTTAATTGTAGCTGTTTGCTCTAGCTGCTGTAACACTGACATAAAGTCAGTCATGACTGTTGCTCTGACTCCTTGAGTTTGCAACCAACAACTTAAACTTTGAATATTTTTGGGCTAACAAGCGAGTATTCATAATTTACCCTCATCTAAATGTGTTAAACAATTATTTCGTAATCAAACTGTATAATAAAATTACACAAAAAACAAAATATGTGACATTAAATTAGTAAAAATACATTGCAAATCAGAGCAGTCAGCACCTGTTAATATCACAATAAAGGCACAAGGATGATAAGCGACAGACGATAGAAAATCTACCCAAAAGGCGAACCCAAACTTCACAGACTACCTTACCTTCCAAGTAATGGTTTCCAAGTAGCTTATTCTTGAAAAGACTACATATTCATCATCATCATAACAGCCGCCCACAAGTCCACTGCTGAACATATGCCTCTCACAAGAAATTCGACAAAGCACAGCCCTGATCCACCTCCATCTATCCACTTCCTGCATATCTTTCCACGTCGTTACTCTATCTAGTATGAAGTTGCTACTCGTTGCCACTTTGTCTTCGAAAGAGTAACAATGGAACATCATGATACAAAAAATATCAAGAGTAATTTTTTATTGAGAAATCCTCTATTTGTAGAAAAAGTCTTTTATGTACTCCGGAGATTGAATAAGGTTGGTTAAGGCCTACATTGGACCATTGATAAATTA